CCAAGATGACAGAAAACAGCTAAATCCGATTGTAGGGGGTGGGCCAGGATGCGTTCTAGAGCTAGTCAGGGCTATACCTTCAAAAGCTTCACAAACGTCTATCCGGAAGTTTCACTTGTTCCCGCAACAAGGCTGAGACATATCCGCATGAACTGCGGGCTTCCGAGTCTCCAACTCCCCAGAGTCTTCAGTTTGAAGGGTAGCCATTTCAGTGACGGAGCCGTCGAGCGGATAGCTGTTATGTGAGAGCAAGGAGGAAGAGCGCTCAAACCATGCACACACAGCCAGCAGCCACACATATGCACCAGCGCAGCATGCAGCTCACGTGCCAGGGAAGTGATGCGATGTCTTGCGTGCGCATGCGTGGGTGGTGCCGCAGATTTGCACAATGGCTGCCTTCTGCCCTATCTGCACTTTTGAAGCTTGTTCTTTTACTGTTATACTTAGTCACCTGCGATGAGTACATTCGAATGATCCGAATTTTTCTGTAATATGTGGTCTGGATGGATGTGCTACAACTTCAAAAAGTTTCTGGGCGTTATATTCCCACATTTATTGCCACCATCCTGAAGTGATCAAAAAGAGAGGATAAAGGGAGTGCAAAGAAGGTGACTCTTGTCCGAACCGAATCCATACCGATGGTCTAATTTTTGCGATGTAACCATTTTTGCCAATCATCCACTGTTTTCACAAGATCCCTACTATGATGAAGTTGAAATCTGTAACCCTTTGGGAATGTTAAACGACATAAACTGGGAATAACTCTGGGCAACATTGCTCCACTGTATCACTCACAACTTAAAACAATTAATCTGGCTATTGTAGCTACTGCTCCTGTCATTGAAAAGCACGGTATAGATCCAGTTTTAAAACCATTCATTGCTGATTTGAACACGTTGGCGACAACTGGGATCTTGCTATCAGTTCATGATGTACCACGCACTTTGAAAGGTGCCTTATTGGCATTTTTGAGCTGATGATCTTGCTAGCAATGAGCTTGGTGGGTTTAAAAAGTCTTTCTCGTTTGCATTTCGTAGTTGCCGCACATGTTTGGTCACACACATGGCGATACTTGCACGCAGGGAAACGGCAGTCACTTTGATTCCAGGCGAAACATGCCATACGCCACTCGCCTCTTCCCCGCCCTGCGACCGTGTCACGCTCCTCAGAGGAACTCTTCTCAACTGATTTCTTGAGTTTCGGCAGTGGGGTGTACAGGGCACACTGTTCCTCCATATGGTCACTCTCCAAACAAAGGACACAACAGCGACCCTTGTCTCTTCTGCCTTGTTGCATCAATGTCACGGCATATAGGAACTGGTTGATACAAGACCAATCAGCTTTGTCATACCCAACAGCCTGCTGGCGAAAGTAAGAATCGTACGCCAGCCATCCTTTCCCCCTGCACCTTCGAGCCTCCCGCACAATCAGCATCTGATACGTCAGCAGCTGACACATTCTCTCTGGCTGCTTGCTGGTCACAATGGCAACATAAGTGCCGAAGCACTGCACCAAGCTCAAGAGATCAGGAATATCTCGCCGGCTCTGTGAGGGACTGGACCCGGAGGACAAGCTGCCCGTTAGCTGGGAGGACGAACGCCGTTGAGCCTCAAGGTTATCCCGGAGTAGCTCCGCCATATCCACTTACTCTCCCCGCAGTATCCGTGACACCAGCCTGTGGGGGACGGGGGGAAGACCCTCACTGAGGATGAAGGGTTTGCCTGTGGCACTCTTCAAGGAGCTCGACTCCCGAGCATAGATGGCCCCGTTGCTGCCTCCGCCCCACGGCGACGTCTTCGCGACTGTCCTCTACGCCACCACCTCCCGTCATCCCTAGGCACATCCGATCAAAGCTCCCCGCGTCCGGCATAGCGCCAAGCCCCTCTCCTGTTGGGGAATATATTAGCTCGTCACGCCAGCACGAAAACCGCCAAGCCTAACAGCACCCCGCCACGCGGCCGTCCGCAGGCGCCAAGGTTGAAGGCACGTCGACCAAGAGTCGCACCCTCCTCCACGTGGCCGTCCACGAGTGCCGAGGTACCCAACACCAGGACAAACAACTTCCTGAGAGTGGTACTTACCTCCTGGCGCGTCTTCTCCTGAACTCCCAAGGCTGGCAAAGAGGGCTGGTTCGTCATGCAGCAGCTCCCGCAGAGTGCACCGCTAGCACTAGAGCCCACCAAGGAGCCATCAGAAGCCATTATGCAGCAAACGAATCAAAAAAAAAGACAAGAAACAGGCGCTCGGAGATTGCTACTCGCGATTGGCAAACCCACGCGGTCGATCTGACAGGTCACGTGCCTCAATACCCCATACCCCACTCACACACAACACCACGCATGCGCCCCTCTGCAGTTAATTGGGTCTAAAGGGTGAGGAGTCCTCATTTCAGTGGTTTAATCCAGAATTTCCCCAAACGTTTTACACATCATTAGCAAGTACCGTATAGTCACGGGTGCATATTTTCGCGGGGTCGTCCATGGAGCCTCCAGCAGAAATTTTTGCGTTTTTTTTTGCGCACGCGCGCAACGTAAGACCACGCCCAAATTTTAGTAGAGCCAGTTGTGAACTTAGCGTAGCTTCCTCTCTTCGCCACGGCTTCGTAGCGGCGCTCCTAACGGCTTCGTTAGCTTCTCTTATCGTGGAGGATGTGAGTTTTGTTGAAAGAGGTCCTTTGGGGTCCGGAAGGGAAGTCTGCTGCAGGTTGAAAATAGCGATAAAGAGCCATCGCGCGCGATCTCGATTCAGCTGCTGGTTTCTTAGCCCCGCCCCCGCACGTGCGCTTTTCCAATTTTCGTGGTTTTTATTTTCGCGCACATCTATCTGTCCGCGAAATTTTGCACCACGCGGAAATTTCCCGCTATATGGTACCTAAGCATTTATCTGTAGGACAGTTCCCCAAATAGTTTTACTGGGCAGCAGCAAAAAAAAGGTTTTTAGCCTAACCAACCCTATGTGGTTGATCAGACGTTTCTCTCATTGCACTTTGCAGATTTCACAGGAATTTGGTATATACAATGACAGTAGATATGATACAAGACTGTTAAATTCTATAGAGAAAGTAGAATAAGCATTCAAATAATCGCTCAGTAAGTTATATAAGAGTTTCATTAATTAATAATTCTTCTGTGGGACTTGTAGGATTTACAGCATCCTCAACGCTCTTCCCAGCTTGATGGCCTGATCTATAAGCTTGACCACGGCGTCGCTCGAGCAGGAGTAGGAGGAGTAGCCTGGGATGTCCCAGCGGGAGTAGAAACCTCGGAGTCCGACATATCTCAACAGAAAACGTCGTTAGCTGCCAACTGAACACAAAACTGACACCTTCGTCTCGTGCGATAAACGGACATACGCACGCTGTGCATGATAACGTAATGCATTACTATGGTAATTGCGCAAATTCGGCTCTCTGATTGGTCAGATTTCACACTTGACCGAATCTTTCCGGACAAAAGTGAAAATAGTGCTTTGTTTGCTGATGCATATCATTAATACTGTCGCATTACCTCCCAAAATGAAAAATAGAGTTCTGTTTTGGGGACAATTATGCTGGCAAGCACTAGTGCCTGCCAGCATAACTGTCCCCAATCACATGAACTTTTAAAGTCACTTTTAAAGTCCAAATTTCTCGAAAATGCTTACCGCTATTAAACTGAAACCTTTTCCACAACATAGTGGATTAAATGGGCTACAAAAGTGCACAGCAAAAATTCTATTGTTTTCAGAACAATAGCCACCTGTGTGAAACAAAGCGCGCAAACTCAGGTTTAGGTGCATTATTTCGCGGTGGTTTACTACGCGTTGTCACGCGCTATTACGCACGCCGTGGGCATGTCATTACGCGGTTAAGCGTAAACAAGCGCGGTTGCACCCCCAAGTATTTACACTCTATAGCGCTGTTCCGCACAAACATGGGTGTGTCAGTACGCGCGAACGAGCGTTTGCTGAAAAAACTTCCAGAAATACCGCGAGCGTAGAGTGTACGCCGGCGATTGCGGGTGGAGCACACCGTAACACGCGAACGCTGTCTGCGTAAATTGGCGTGACTTCCCACTTGAGTGCATAAAAGCGAAATATTTCGCAACTGTTGCTGTCTGTGCGCGCTTTTACACGCATTATTTTACACGGGCAAATGCATAGGTTCCTCCATTTCTCTGCGGAGGACATTTCTCGGTAACACATCTGGGGGAAATTGCCCAAACTTTTTACACATCATTAGCAAGTACCTAAGCACTTATCTGTAGAACAGTTTTTCCAAATGACTTCACCGTGCAGCTGCAAAAATTATTTTTAGCCTATATGGTAGACCAGACATTTCTCACTTTGCAGATTTGACAGGAAATTGGTACAATGACAGTAGATATGATACACTTCAAAACAGTAAAAACAGGAAATTTAATTAAGAGTGTCATTAAAAATTCTCTGTGAGACTTGTATGATTTTACAGCAGCCTCGATGCTCTTCACAGCTTGATGGGACTGATCTATAAGCTTTTTCGTAGTCCCTGACTTTTCTTGCGTATTTTAGGATGAGGTCGACGGACAATGAATCTAGAGCTGGTTTTATAATTTGACCGAATTTCATCGATGTAAAGTTGGTGTGCGCCCGACAGTATGCTTTTGCCTGACCCCAGACCCTTTCAATGTCATTGAGTTCACAATGTAAAAAGTAAGCCAAGTGGCCTATTTTGTGTAAAAAGTTTCAACAATTTATTCGGGTACGAAGTCTTCGTGGTTTGACAAAACGACTCGCATGTCGTCTCCTCGCATTGTTGACGTGTTTATCCCACTTTCTTGTAGGATAGTGTGCAACACATTCACCTGTCACCATTTTCTGTGGTTTGTTTGCCACACTGTCCCCACCCTCCGTGGCCCCCCATCTTTGTGTCGCAGAGTAGCCGGACTGCTTGCGCCGCAGCAACTTCGCTAGTTGAGATCCGTACTTGAATATTGATGATAGTTAGTGCAGGTGACTGACACTGACAAAGTGGTGAAATGGTGCGGCTCCTATATAATGTAACAGAATGTTCTAGAATGATGTGCACATGTTAGCAAAGCACATGGTAGCATGTGGACAGTTAGACTGTTCTAGAACTCCCTAGTAAGGTGTGATGCAAGTGATATAATGTTAACACTATTTGTCCAGGAAGCTACTTGTAGTTGTAAGAAAGTTCTAGAAGCTTCCAGTAATATAGTCTGACAAGTGTCATTCTCCAACACTCCTTCTCACTTGCAGACGGAATGGTCAATCATTTCTCTAACTCCAGCCATTCGCCTCAGTTTCACAAATTGTTCTCCATTGAGTCCCTTCGTGAGCATGTCGGCTATCATGTCGTTTGTCCTGCAGTATCTCAGTTCCACGTTGTTGTTGTCGACTTGATCTCGAATGAAGTGGTACTTTGCTTAGATAGACCATGGAATTGTGGATTTTTCGCCATACAGATCGCAGACTGATTGTCTTCAAAAATGACAGTTGCACTCGTTGGCTCATTCTTGAGATCAGTGGTAAGTTGACGTAACCACATTGCTTCCTGTGCTGCACTTGCCAGTGCCATGTACTCGGCCTCTGCTGTTGACAGTGCTACACACATTTGCTTCTTGCTGATTGCTGTTCCACCGAGCTGAAACAGGTACCCAAACGTAGATTTGTGATCATCAAGGTCTCCACCCCAATCTGAATCTGAAAATCCAACACACTCAGTTGATTTGTCTCTGTTGTAGAGAAGACCATGGTTCAATGTTCCCTTGAGATAACGGAATATACGTTTCACAGCTATCCAATGCTGTTTTGCTGGGTTAGCAGAGTATTTTGCCACGTTGCTCACTGCGTAGGAAATGTCTGGTGTTGTGGAATTTGACAGATAGAGGAGGCTTCCAACTGCTGATTGGTAGCGTTGTTGATCAACAAACTCCTCATCTTCTTTTGCTTTCATAAGCTTCGTGCTGGTGTCGACTGGTGTGTTTACAGTCTTCACATTCTCCATGCCATATTATTGCAGGACACTAGTGGCATATGCCGGCTGTCCGATCCAGACGTCACCGGATTCCTTATCTTGGACGACCTTCACCCCCAGGAAGTAATGTAGCTTTCCCATGTCCTTCACCTGGAATTGGTTAGCAAGAGCTTGCTTGACTTCTGCCAACCGTTGATCGCTTTTTCCTGCCAACACAATGTCATCAACGTACACAGCTATGATGAACATCTCTCCTTCTGAAGCTATGTAGAGACAGGGGTCACCCTTCGTTTGCACAAAACCCATTTGTTTCAATTTATTATCCAGTGCAGAGTTCCAGCAGCGTGGTGATTGCTTCAGGCCATAGATGCTTCGTTTTAGCTTACAGACCAAGTCCTCCTGGCCCTCAGACACAAAACCTTCTGGCTGCTTCATGTAGACCTCTTCTTGCAACTCACCATTCAGGAATGCTGTTGTAACATCCATCTGGTGCATTTTCAGGCTGTTCTGCACTGCCAGTGCAATCACTGTACGGAGTGACTCAAATCTGACAACTGGAGAAAATGTTTCATCGTAGTCGAGTCCTTGTTTCTGTGAAAACCCTTGAGCCACTACACGAGCCTTCTAAGCCATCAGGGCCGACTTTGAGCTTGAACACCCACTTGCTGCCAACTACCTTCCTGTCTTTGGGCAGTTTCACCAGGTCCCAAACATCATTCATGTGGAGTGAATCCATTTCCTTGTCCATTGCATCCATCCACTTTGCTCTTTCTGGGCTTGCTAGTGCTTCTCTCATGGATGTTGGCTCGTTCAAGACTTCACTTGCAACGTTTACTCGGACGCCGTAGTAGTCTGGAGGTTGTCTCTCCCTTGCTGATCTTCGTAAGACCGGCTCAGGTTGCTCTTCAATGGTTGGTTGAGGTGGCTCTCCTGCTTGTTCGTCATTGCCGAGGCACTCAATTTGTACGTAACGGTTTTCTTCTTCCCATGTTTGGTTCTTTCTCTATTCCATGCTTCTTTTCATTGAAAACCACATCTCGACTAATGAAGACTTTTGCACTTTTTGGATCATACAGTCGGTATCCTTTGATCTCAGTGCCGTATCCCAGGAAGACACACTTCCTCGCTTTCGCATCGAGCTTCTTCCTCTCATCTTTAGCTACATAGGCATACGCAACACACCCAAAGGTTCGCAGGTGTCCAACATTCGGTTTTTCACCAACTCAAGCCTCGAATTGTGTCATTCCTTCAACTGCCTTGGTAGGACTTCGGTTTCGAAGGTAGACAGCTGTTGAGATGGCTTCTGCCCAGAACTTGGGTAACATCTTGGAATAGCCCAGCATGGACCGCGTGGTTTCAACTAGCGTTCGATTCATCCTTTCTGCAACACCATTCTGCTCTGGTGTCTTTGGTACTGTAAGTTCATGTCGAACTCCTTCTTTCCTCAGGTAGGCTTCAAATTCTGCTGATGTGTATTCGCCACCATTGTCAGTACGTAGGGCTTTCAGTTTACGTCCAGTTGATTTCTCCACAAGAGCTTTCCACTCTAGAAACTGTTTGAAAACCTGGTCCTTTTGTTTCAGGACATACACCCACACGTAGCGAGTCTTGTCATTGATGAAGGTGAGAAAGTATTCAGCTCCGCTCAGTGACTCTGAAGTCATCTTTCCACATACATCACTGTGCACCAAACCGAGTGCTTCCTTTGAGCGCTTTCCACCAGTGGTTGGGAAGTGGCGACGGTGGTGTTTCCCCTCCACACATGACTCACAGAAATTGATCTCCTTCGCCACGTCATAATCGAATCCATTGACCAATTCGTGCTTGGCCAACTTCTGCAGATTCCTCATTCCAAGGTGGCCATAGCGTCGATGCCACACATCCTCTCTTGTTTCAGGGGCCCTGTCCACAGCTGTGTGGGACTTTTGAGAGCCCGGATGACAGCTCAAGTAGTATAGATCTCCTACTCTAGTCGCCACCGCAACAAGTTTCCTGTTTGCATCCAAAATTTGACAACTTGTCTCACCGAATCTGGTTGTTTTCCCAGCATCGGATGTCCTTGACACACTTAGTAAATTGTAGGACAGCTTTGGCACATACAGCATATCGTGTAACTTGCATTTCTTTGTTCTACCGCTAGGCAACTTGGTTTCCAGCACCACAACTCCATGTCAAGGTTATCTCCGGAGTTAAGCTCCGCCATATCCACCTACTCTCCCGCAGTAATCCGTGACACCAGCCTGTGGGGGACGGGGGAAGACCTCACTGAGATGAAGGGTTTGGCTGTGGCACTCCTCAAGGAGCGTCGACTCCGAGCATAGATGGCCCCGTTGCTGCTCCGCCCACGGCGACGGCTTCGCGAACTGTCCTCTACGCACCACCTCCCGTCATCCTAGGCACATCGCGATTCAAAGCTCCCGCGCGTCCGCATAGCGCCAAGCCCCTCTCCTGTTGGGGAATATATTAGCTCGTCACGCCAGCACGAAAACCGCCAAGCCTAACAGCACCCCGCCACGCGGCCGTCCGCAGGCGCCAAGGTTGAAGGCACGTCGACCAAGAGTCGCACCCCCCTCCACGTGGCCGTCCACGAGTGCCGAGGTACCCAACACCAGGACAAACAACTTCCTGAGAGTGGTACTTACCTCCTGGCGCGTCTTCTCCTGAACTCCCAAGGCTGGCAAAGAGGGCTGGTTCGTCATGCAGCAGCTCCCGCAGAGTGCACCGCTAGCACTAGAGCCCACCAAGGAGCCATCAGAAGCCATCATGCAGCAAACGAATAAAAATAAAAAAGACGAGAAACAGGCGCTCGGAGATTGCTACTCGCGATTTGGCAAACCCACGCGGTCGATCTGACAGGTCACGTGCCTCAATACCCCATACCCCACTCACACACAACACCACGCATGCGCCCCTCTGCAGTTAATTGGGTCTAAAGGGTGAGGAGTCCTCATTTCAGTGGTTTAATCCACAATTTCCCCAAACGTTTTACACATCATTAGCAAGTACCGTATAGTGCGAAATTTTCACGGGTGCATATTTTCGCGGGGTCGTCCTACTCTAGTCGCCACCGCAACAAGTTTCCTGTTTGCATCCAAAATTTGACAACTTGTCTCACCAAATCTGGTTGTTTTCCCAGCATCGGATGCCCTTGACACGCTTAGTAAATTGTAGGACAGCTTTGGCACATACAGCACATCGTGTAACCTACATTTCTTTGTTCTACCGCTAGGCAACTTGGTTTCCAGCACCACAACTCCATGTCCGATCACGTGCAGATCGTACCCATATCCAAGGGTTACTTCCAGTGGTTTCTCCAGGTTGCGTAGTTCAACAAAGAGTCTCCTGTCATTACACATGTGGCAGGTTGCTCCGGAATCCACGATCCAGCTATCGTGCCGACCCGTACTTGCTGACAGTGCGTGCCGCGCTACTAATCCGACGCTCTCACTGTCCGAACTGCTGCTGTCTCCTTGCGTTGTCGCTGCCGCGTTAGCTTGGTGCTTGACGCTCCTTGTCCTATCACTCTCGTTTGATTCAGACTTCTTTTCTTGAGTAAGTTTTCTGCAGTTACGTCGGATGTGACCGTATTTCCCGCAGTGATGGCACTTTGGGCCTTTCTTGAACGGTTGCTTGGCCGTGGCCATCATTGCTTTCTCACTGCTCACATCAGCACCTTCTCGATCCTCCAGTTTCCACTCCTCGTGCAGCAAACGCTCTAGGGCGGTAACTAACATGCTATACGATTCAGGTAAGCTGGCTAGCAGGTGCACAACACGGTCCTCCTCCGGAACTGGATCGCCAATAACCGATAATGCATCGAAAACCTCCGTCGTAGCTTTGACATGTCTTTGAACGGAGTCTCGGTCTTTCAGCCGCAATGAATACAGCCTTCGTCGTAGCTCCAGCTTGTTGGCCCAGGTCTTCTTTTGGAACTGATCAACCAACTTCTTCCAAACAGTGATTGGATCTTCTGGGTCTCCAATCAGATAAAGTAGCGACGGTTCGACCGACAAAACAATAATGGCCAGTGTACGATCCCTTCTTGCCGCAAACTTCACGTATCTGTCTGCTTCGGCGATATCAGGCGGATGTTCAGAAACGCTCACAAAGCTCCACAACCAATCCTTCATCAGAGCCATCCGGCACTGGTTGGATAATTGGAGCCATTCAAGGGAATAACTGTCACCGTTTTCGATTCGGATGCCATTGCTCTAGCGAGAGTCCAACAGACGCCGCACAGTTCAATCGAGAGAACCTTTGGAGTCTTCAGTGGGTATTCTGGTTTTCAGGCCTGTGAACCTGGGCCCATAACCTGTCGCAGAGTAGCAGGACTGCTTGCGCCGCAGCGACTTCGCTAGTTGAGATCCGTAGTTGAATATTGATGATAGTTAGTACAGGTGACTGACACTGACAAAGTGGTGAATTGGTGCGGCTCTTATATACTGTAACAGAATGTTCTAGAATGTTCTAGAATGTTCTAGAATGATGTGCACGTGTTAGCAAGGGCACATGGTAGAATGTGGACAGTTAGACTGTTCTAGAACTCCCTAGTAAGGTGTGATGCAAGTGATATAATGTTAACACTATTTGTCCAGGAAGCTACTTGTAGTTGTAAGAAAGTTCTAGACGCTTCCAGTAATATAGTCTGACAAGTGTCATTCTCCAACACTTTGACCAGGATGTTTTTCGTGCTTTCTCGTCAAACTTTCGGTGGCAGCTGCTTTGGTCGAACAACCACACAACAGTGTAGTTGTCCTTGTCATATTTGATATCGACAATATTTGCAGCATTTTCAATCTGTTTCATGAAACGGTCCCCTGTCCAATATCCCTCCTTTTCGGCTCCATATTCAAGAAACTGTCGAACACTCTGGATTAGATCAGGGTTGCTTTCCCTTGCTGTTTCAAATTCAGCATCGGTGAGTTTGAGGAATCCCCGTGCTCCTCCACGAAGTCTGACACCATTATCCCACTTTCCTTGGTTTTGGGAAGAATTGCAGTTCTATCTTTCTCCCCCCACATCCATTCATTAGTGTTGAATATTGACTCGTCATGGTAAATGACCACTAACTCCTTCTTTTCCTCGTCTTCCTCTTGTCGGATCCGTGGGGGTTCATCGCTACAGGGGTTGCACACTATCCTACAACGCATCCAGGACTTTTAGAAAAGTCTTTCGATGGCGAACCACGTCCTCTCGCTCGTGTCCATCAATATACACACCTTTCTTCTGGCTCACCGGTTTTGAACCCCAAGTGATGGAGCCAACGAACAGCGGTTCGAAGAGAAATCGATCGTGGAAAATGTGGAGGCAGATGGCTTGATGGAAGGAGGCCATTGTTTACCCATTCACAGAACGATTCAGCCGTCATGTTTGGCTCCCCCTTCACAAAAGCGTGTTTACGAACCCACTCTGTAGCCTTGTCATTCAGGGCTTCGTCGTGATGAACACAGTGTCGCTCGTACTTCCCCTGCAATTGGATTGAGAAGTGGCCTTCATTCGCAAAAAAATCATTGCTGTAGCGGCGAACGGTCTTTTCTTTAAACCCCACAACCGACCCTGCCTCAGTTGGACGGTATCTGGCATTCAAAATACTCCCCTATCACGTTATGGCTGTCGATCTTGGGAAACAATGTGTATATATTTTCCCACATCGTTTTCAGTAGCTTTTCCAGGAAGAGCTCCTCGTGACTGTCCCTGGGAAAGTATAGAATGGGGACATCCTCTTCATTTATGCCCACAAGGTATGACGGACACATGACGAGATCCTCTGCTGATGATCTTGTCAGTCCTACGTGGCTGATGTTCAGTTTAAACCTGGCTGCCACAAGGAGGTTTAGCTCGCTCTTCCAAAGGACGGATCTATAACAATCCCTCATGACAGTGTGAAATTAAAGTTGTCGCACAAGATGATTATGGTTTTGTAGCATGCTACACCATTGGTACACACAAATAGCAGTTTTGGGATGCCCTTGCAGTACTGCACCATTGAATCCACGTCACTTTCATCCGCATCCGCGCCCAACAGTGAAAAGAGGAATGCCTTAGCCATGTCATCATTGAATGGCTTCAGATCGATAAATTTAGCTCTATACAAGCACTCAACCCAATCAGTTGATCCAACTGCCTTATTAATTAAGAGTGTAAAACAGACCAAATGATGAAGACTGAGCAATCACGACTGTGCAGTTAGTACACTGCTTCAGGGCGTAAATTCTAAAGAACTTTCTTTTTTGGTTTGTGCAATTGACAGATGGTGTCCACAGATCCATTAACAATACCATTTTGGAAGTTGATGGACATTGCTTGACCTGAGGTGATACATATTCATAATGGTCATCTAGCGTTTGAAATGGGATAACTACTGTGAAGAAGCCCTGTAGCTGCTGCAGTTGTTTATACAACCAAAAAGGGAAGTGGTTTTCCCTAGCCCTGGTGGGCCTCTCAGAAAGACAAACTTATGGCCATCAGAACCTAGTACTACAGTTCATGCATCTCGGGGGTTTCGACAATATTCATTTTACTCATCTGCCGCGAAGGCTTTAGCAGACGTTCAAAAGCCTCTGAAACAAGTTCGTCCTCCTTCGCAATTTGTGACATGGTGCCTGTTTTACGTTCATGTTGGACCGATTGCGAAAGTTTTCCATGAGGATAACCTGTCGCTGGTCGTGCCGAAGGGACACCATCCAGTCATCAAATACTTCTTGTAGTGAGAATTGATCGTCACTTGAGCTGTCGTGAGGCTCTTCTTCTGATCTGTAGTCGAAATCTGGGTCACCTCTTGGTGCATCTGTAGACCTGAGGAGCATTGTGGCTGCCTTGGCGTTCTGCTGTCTCTTTCCGATTCCATGGGCCTGGCGGTGAAGTCTCGGTGGAAGTAGGGAGGGGTGAGGTGGTTGTGAGGGAACGAACAGAGGAGAAAGAGGCGGTAGGAGCAGGAGGAGAAACGGGCGAAGATCGGAGGGGGCTGGATGACGCAGGAAAAGCTGACGCCTTCGACTGTTGCGATCACATCTTTGCCGTATCCGTGGCATTGTACTGTCTCTTCCAATTCCATGGGCCTGGCAGTGATCGCTGTACGCGATGACGTAATGCGTTACTATGGTTATTGCGCAAATACGCCTCTCTGATTGGTCAGATTTGATACTGACCGAATGTTTATGGAAAAGTGAAAATAGTGCTTTTTTAATGATATTCCTATTCATCAGCTATTAATACTGTCGCATTACCTCGCAAACCATGAAAAATATAGTTCTATTTTGAGGACAATTATGCTTGCAGGCACTGTAGGTGAATTCAATGCTAACATGAGAAGAATGCTCATTTTGAATCAATAGAACTGGCCTAGCTGGTGGAATCCACTTGATTAGTTGCCATTCCCCACTCTATGTATATTCTATGACTCCCCAGTCTCCTGTGTCTCCCTATGACAACCCCTAGTCTACCTGTTTCTGCCTATGACAACTCAGTCTCCCTGTTTCTCCCTATGATTCCCCAGTCTCCCTGTGTCTCCCTATGACAACCCAGTCTACCTTTGTCTGCCTATGGCAACTCAGCCTCCCTGTGTCTCCCTATGATTCCCCAGTCTCCCTATTAATGCCAAGTCCCCCTTTGTCTCCCTATTAATCCCCAGTCTTCCTATGACTCCCCAGTCTCCCTGTGTCTCCCTATTAAACCCCAGTCTCCTGTGTCTCCCTATTAATCCCCAGTCTCCCTGTGTCTCCCTATTAATCCCCAGTCTCCCTGTGTCTCCCTATTACTGATCCCCAGTCTCCCTGTGTCTCCCTATGACTAATCCCCAGTCTCCCTGTGTCTCCCTATTACTCCCCAGTCTCCCTGTGTCTCCCTATGACTAATCCCCAGTCTCCCTGTGTCTCCCTCAGTCTCCCTGTGTCTCCCTATGACTCCCCAGTCTCCCTGTGTCTCTCCGACTATGTGGGACTCTCCTATCTGTGTGTGTTCTATAATTATAGTTTAACCTCGCAGAATCTTGTAATTATTAGTCTCTGTGTAAAATCATCACTCAATACGTAGTATATACATGGTTGAAGACAGATCCAAAGTATGTGCTATTGCAGTTAATTTATGTTGTTACATTGGAAATCAATCGGGATTAGGAAAGTTGGATTGATGATGTGTTATGATGACAACACAGACAAAATGACACATACAGCATTGCATCCCTGGAGCTCTTTGCTATAAAAATGCACGTAGCATATACTCTCATCATAGCACCTTTCACTACCACGTTTGAATTTGTTGAGTGTTGCAGGCAGGGTTTTCTCCATTCAATAATAGACGTTTCGGTTCAAAGAGACTTACTCTTTTCAATTTCACAACCTTCTGAGGTTGGATATATCACTCTTCATCCGTATGCCTAATTCTATTATCATGGTTTATCAAATGTGCAAGGCTCAGAGGCACATACTAAAAAAACATCCGATGGCAAATACAAGCACAATATAATCCTTGTTCAAGTTCAAGCACAATAAAAGCCTTGTTCCGAAACTGAGATAGTTAGGTCTTTCTCGAACTCATCGTATGATTCATATTGAGTAGACAGCAGTAACTGAAGTGTATGTGTACGTGCGAAGGGAAGCCTTTTTCTGGATTTGGTTCACCTTGTGCTTCTGGATCAGACTCTCCGATCTCTGACACTTCAACTTAGTTAACCCTTATGGCGCATGCGCAGATTCCGCGCGCTATCGCGTGCGTGCGGTGACTGCCAGGTCACGCCGCAATCATTTGACTGTCGCGTGAACTCGCCTGTTTCACCGCGTGTGCTGCGTTGCCGCCTAGCTGCCCCCCTTTCTAAAGTCCGCCAGAGAGACGACGCTGGTCTGGGATGTCTCCTTCAGGTTGCCTTTTCGAGCAGAAACGCCCATTTTCGACGATCACGATCGTCCGCATTTGCGCCATGAGGTAAGTGTCTTGGAATTTATTGTTTCGTAGTTGAAAGATGTTATTTTCTCCAGAAAGGGAGTCCTGGATTGATGAATGATAGTGCAGTGAAGTGATAAAAGTAAGTGATAACCGTGGACGCAATAGATGACATGTAGGCGCATGATAAACACGCAGTGGAGCATGTTTACATTCAGAGGTACCTCTGTGGGTTTACTTTCGTGTGGTGGAGCTCAAACAAGAGTGCAGTGTACACATGGGGAGGTTTGCATTGTTTACACATGTAGTAGTCGTCTTCCTGCCACGCCCCTTTCTTTTTTACTACACACAGTGCAGTCTGTTTGTCTTTTTCTTCCCAGCGGGTGTGCAGGGAAGGTTGGTGGGGAAGATGGTGCTCATAAGCCTTGACTCGGATGGTGTGAGTGGACGTTGTAGTCGGCCCGTGGCTCAAAGGCGCACTCTTCGCTTATGTCCACCGACACCTGGAGCAGCATTTCCTTGGACAACTCAATCCTGAATTGCTCATGGGTGAATTTTCTAGATGACTGCGTAGATGTACTGTACAAGATGTCCGCATTTACCACAGCCATGTCGAATAAATGGAAGGCTGTCCTTCTCCACCATTTGACCGTGCGGTGTGAAAACCCGTAGTAGGACCTGTTTTGGTGGAATTAGTGAAACGATGTAGTCCTCTGTATGGTAGTATAATCATGTATGTTGTGTACAATATGTGTTTTTTATAGTATGTGGAGTATGGATGTAGGCAATTTTATGTATTACTTATTATTATACATACTTTGCTGCATGCTTCACTGGAGTAAGGCCATGTTGTCACCCAGTGGTCTTCAATTGTTGGAAAATTGACCAGGCCCATTATGATGATGAGGGCGATGAACTTCTGCAGCTCCTCTCTGGTGAATGGCTCTCGTGACCAACCGTGGACTCTCGACCGAGGAGGGAGGTTGTGGGTGGAGATGTACTGCGCTGCATACAAGTTGGTCTGGGTGACAATGTGTCGAGAATGTCATCTGTCAGAAGCATCTGAGAAGTCAAGCGGAGTCGCGTTGTCACACGGAGTATTGCACCCATGAGTGAAAGAGTACGCAGGCAGGCCGTTAGCATCATCTACTTCACATTCACCTCCAAGCTCCAGTCTTTCACTGTTCTCTGCTTCCCCTTTGTTGCTGTTCATCATCACTCTCTCCCTCTCTCCCCTCTACCACTTGACCATCTGGCTCACCAACGTATCCGTCAAAATCGTCATCACTCAAGTCTTCATCATCAATAACTGGACCTGGGATTGCCATACTGTTCAACTCTGCTACAACCTCATCAAGGCTAAAAAGCCTTCCAGCAGAGCCTGAAGCCATTTCTTCTCTCTATGCTCAAGTGACGCTCTAGTTTGCGCATGCAGCAGTTTTGTGGGGGCGTAGCTGGCAGCTGCGCAGTAGTGTCGTTCTTACCGCGCATTTCCTCGAGTGAAAATGGGGCGTGGCACGTTCGTTGAAAGGGGAGGTGCTTCGTTAGGTCATGTACTCGTGCAAGAGTGAAGAAAGGGAGAAGAAGACCTGCACCCGCTGGCGCCGCGAGGGGCCAAGGAGGTAGGCCTCGCCATGCATAAATATATGTAATACGCGGTAGCTAGCGGTCCCGCGCGTGCATATATATATGTAATACGCGTTCAAAGAGTTAATAAGGTCAAAACGTACAAGGCTCAAAGGCACATACTTCCTTCTGGGTTTGGTTCAATTGGTTATGTTGTTCACCTTCTGTATCAAACCTGCCGATCTCTGACAGGTCAACTGATAGTCAATAAATTATGTTTCCACAACAGAAACATTAATTACATACTTTCTTTAGGTTGTGACTGCCTTATTTCCTCTCATGTTTGTGCATCTTGAACTATACCCTCAGCTGGAGTCAAGCACATATTTGTATGGTAATGATGACTCGGGTGCACGCACGTATCTGGAGTTAATAAGATACATAACAAATTGGAAAGATGTTTGGTTAACGCACCACCACTGGAGCCCTTGCTTCTCGTGTCGAACCGCCTTCTCTTTCAATCAGTAGCGCGATGTCATTAATATGTATGCACACTGGAGTAATGAATGAAGCAAAGCATGGACATCCCACCCAGGACTACAGAAATAGGTGGGGCTCGAATCTCAAACTCGACAATAATGCCTTGCTCGGCGCCTAGAATATTTGCACGAGACGGACAACCGCTCTTCTCTCCTGCAGCAAACTTTACCCTGGCACCACCTACCTAGTTGTGGCACTCCATCACCAAAATAATGTAATAATAGTTTGCCGCTCGCCAATGACATTGAAGCCAGACCGAGCAGTCAAGGATGATTACTTGTTCAAGAATATAATTATTATGATATCTTAATCAAAACAGGGATTTTGGAGAGGGACAAGAAAACAGCCGACAAAAATAATAACACAAATGGAGTAGTCAGATTTTGGGGACACTCAGTGTCGGAAGCTGGTTGTACACGGAAACAGCCCACAAATAAGATTACAAAAATCAGATATGGAGGTTTGAAATTAACAGTGGTTGAGTGTTGCAAAGTGCATGAGCGTGTGTAGTAATAGCTGTACTGCAGTAGGGTAGTGCATGAAATTTTATCCTTCGCTCCTTGTCCTAAAGTAAACTATATGGTTTACTGCCTACAGTGTCTTTGCCCAATCTCCAGCCACTAAGGTATCCACAGGAATTTTTGGTTGATTTACAGGTTTGTCAATAAGTTAATAAACAACAATTATGAGTAGTTTTTATTCGAAACTGATGTGATAAATCCATGCAGACTCATACCTATCTCTTCTGCAAAGTCTGCAGTGTTATATATGATATATCTGAACAGGATATGAACATAAGTGTGTCACAGTGTCAAGGCTTCAATCATACATTATTTCACTTCATAGGCCAGGATGATTAGAAGTAGATGCATATCTCAAACCTTAGCTACCTATTGTGATCTCAAGCTAACTCTAAGGATGTACTTCCTTGGCCACAGGAAAACGAACATGTTCCACATTTTCAGGATATGAGCATAGAGGCAGTATGTAGGCGTAAACATCACATCATGGTGGGTGTACTGACAATCCCCACGCACAGATTGCAAAATAGCGTCAGTGATCCTGTTCCCGTCTACATCCACAGAGGTGATTCTTTGTTACTATGATAACCATGTGGTTTGACCTAAGAATCATTGATCTTTATGGCATATTGCTACATACTACATACATAATAATTATATAGTCAATGTAGACTATAGTCACAGTTTGAAACACAGCAAAAATATATGCCGGTGCCTCCTCATTTCCTCCTCCCGCTCTCTCCTTCTTTTGTCCTCCTCCTCCCGCTCTCTCCTTCTCATGTCCTCCTCCTCCAAAAACCCTGGTCGGGTTTTTGGAACACTGGAAAAGCACCAAATGCAACCACCATCTCAAAAGCTTATTTTGCACTTACACACATGATCGCCCAGATCTTTCTGCGCTATATTATATAATTATATAAGAAAAGAACTGTTTGTGTGAACTCAAAAGCTAACTTACAGACGATTTTCTTTTGTAATCACATGAGGGGACTCGCTGTAGAATGCGTGTTAGCTCTTATAATTATCCACTTATAATTATAACTAAACTCACACATTCTTCAGTTTCTCCACCCACTCTGGGGTGTAGCTTGGCTGCCACTGACTGGGCCAGTGAAAGTTATGCCCGGGAAGGTGAGGGCCGGGTTTGTGGAATTCTCTCTCTAAAAAAATCTGTTGTAGCTATAGCTAATACAGTAACACATTCCTAACGCTACATCAATCTGGGTTTTCCACTGTTCTTTTATTACAAACTCACATAGCCACCGACTCACCCAAACTGGTCAAATTCCAGCTTTGACCTTGGCGGTGGGGTGGGAGTCCGAGAGTTCTCGCGGCTGTGGTACGATGTTGATAGCTATATAGGTTATAGCTACGTGCGAGGAAGCGGCGTACCTCCCGTCAGGCAGTGTGAATCGGACCCTGCATAGTTTAGAGGGTTATTATAGCTATACAGTTACACTGAGAGCTGCTCACTTCTTTGAAACTTTTTCCGCCATCGCAATCGCATGCATCACAACGCGTTTTTGAATTGCACGACACCTAAATTCGCAGTTCAACCACAGAGTCTGTCAGCTACTTGAAAGATAAGAAAGATAGGGAAAGTATGCCGCTCGAGGGTGCAGTGAACTGTTTTCGGTGGTAGTCCATGCATCTAGATATGCAAACAAGGTCCAGAAGGGCTCAAGGGTCTGGTTTGAGGGAGACTGGATGGCAATTTTTTCAGAAAAGAACGACATTCGATGCGCATGCGCAGTGCGTGTGACTCGTCTTTTTGTCATTTAAATATTTTACATTGACTATGATGCACAATGTCTCCAGCACTATTAAATATTTTACAGGCATATTCATGGTATTCACTATCCTTCTGAGGATCATAATATTATCTCCATCATTAATTCTTCATTAATCACTCTCTCTTTCTTGCACCTACTGGTGTGTGAAACAATAACAACAATAATATTAATAATAGGTCTGTACAAATAATGTTTAAAAAAACGGCGAATAAAAAGAGAATGTGATATGGAATGATGAGTTTTCTGACATTGAACAATATTATTAACATTATTAACATAACATGCATCCCAAGGCATGCCATAGAAAGGAAGTTGTGGCAAAGATTGAGTAGCCTGCTGGGTCAGTGTAGGATTACACCCTTAGGTGTTGGGTCAGTGTAGGATTACACCCTCAGGTGTTGTGGTGAGCACTAGAATGTGCCATGGTTTACTCTACACCCCAAGAGTGTTTGTAAACACCTACTTAAGTGTAATGAACACCCCTGAGGTGCTC